ACTCCTTACCGGTGCAGCCTAGAATCGCTCAGTGCAAAAAGTAAGTAAATATGCATTGTTCTTTATTTCCCTACGTTCTTGCTAGATTCGAATGCGCCGCAGCAGATTGGCATTCCCTATAGAGTCGAGTCACTAGTCACCAGCCGACAGCCAGCCTGGCGGACACAGGCAGGCAGGCAGCAGGCAGGCGGTAGCATTGGTAGAATGCGGAGGCCGCAAACGAGACGCGCGGCCGGCGGCGGCAGCGGTTTGTTTTTGTTTATGTCTCATTCGTAGTGTTGTGTGTCGTCCTGACGCAAGTTTTAGTCAATTTGTTAAAGAAAAGAACGTGCCGTTGATCGATGATCATTGGATGAGTGGGACTCACTCAAGTCAGTTTGAGGAGAGTGCGGGAGCAGCCAATCAACCAATCAGCCCGGGCTGTCGGAGAAGGGTTATGGTATGGTACCCCAATGGTAGTGACAATTTCATCTCATCGTCTCATCGTTAAATGTGACTATATGTCCTGTTCCCGCTAATATTCTGTCTGACGATTGTCTACTTCAGTCGTGTTTCATCTCCGTTGTTTGTTTTACGTAGGACTTTTAGCGAACTTTTACATTTGGTAGAAATACAGCTGCCGGCCAGCCAGTTCAAATTTAATTTGGCGAGCGTGTTTACTTTGGTTAGGAAAGGCACTCGTGTTGTTCCTGGGGTCTGACATGCGGATTTCAACTCGGTAGGCTGGAGCTGGACACGGAGGCAGTCGCTGCAAGGAAACCGAGGACGCTGTCCAAGATTGGCGCTTCGAAGGACTCGTCGTCGTCGTCCGCGGCACGGCGCGGCATGGCAAGTGGCCCACCTCTACACCACACCACCAGGTGGAGCGCTGCTGCAGGTGAGTAGCCAGTGTTCACATTCAACTGGCGTTTTATTTTCAGAAACAATTTGGTTTTGACGAGTCAATGTCAAGGCGACTGTACCGTAGAGCCAGACCTCACCCCAGCCCACGCTGCGCTGTGCAACGCGAGCGGCCGCAGCAGTTTGTGTGTGTGGTGTTGAGGGTTTTGGTTAGCTTCGCTCTCTTGGGCGTCAATAAGTAGTGGCCCCGAGGCAAGTTTGCGCGTCCATGTGACGAGTAGCGTCATTGTCGCTCGGTCAGTGTAAAACAGAACGAGTTCATTGCTCGCCGTTCCCACGCACGTTTGACCCTTTGACCATCACGCTCACCACCTCACTGCTATTTTTACCTGCAATAATGCCCGAAAGAAAGGCGCCATCTGGGGAAAGCCCCCCCTCCCCCTACTTTCCCCCTCCTCCTCCATGTTTCCTTTTCCTCCGGGGGGGCCCCCAATAACCGTAAAGTGCCATGCTTCTCTTTACGAGACACGATAATGTTATCGATTTGTACGAGGGGTGAACAACTGGTGTATTCCTCTGTCCCCGAGGATTGTATTACCTAATATTACCGTATATTACCATGTATTCCACGTATTACTTTGTATTACCATGTATTACCTTGTATTACCTTATATTACATTGTATTACCTTATATTACATTGTATTACAAGATATTTTTCTCTGTAATACCTTATATTTCTCTGTAGTACCACATATTACTTGTAATATCATGTATTTCTTGTAATACCTTGTATTCCCTGTATTACCTTGTATTACTTGTAACACCTTATATTACTTATAATACTCTACATAACATTGTAATACTTATATTATTTAAATTCTTGTAACCCTCTGTATGACTTGTATTACCTCGTAATACCTGTGATACCATGTAGTATTACATTGTATTACCTTGTATTACCTTGTAATACCTTGTAATACTTGTAATACATTGATATTACCAGTATTACCTGTATTACATATATTACCTTGTAATATATTCCTCTGTCCCCGTCTCAGCTGAGTTGTTCACCCCTCGGATTTGTAGGTGCGCGCCCCGGCGGCACCGGGCGGCGCTAGAGCGGCTCGGGCTGGCTAACAATGTGGCTAACGCCTGGCTAAAGAGTGCTCCTCGTATGCTAATGGGACGGGGCTTAGTGGGCTTGCGGCGAGTGCGGCGTGCGTGCTGCCGGTGTAGGAGGTGGGCTGGGCGGCGGAAAATGGACGTCTTCTTCAGGGCAGGGGGCGGGGGTGCTCGACCCACTCCCCCTCCCTCTCTCCCACGGCTACCCCTGTGAGCCCGTTGCCACTATTGCTGAGATTGTCAGAGGCGGCGCGCGATAACCCACCTTGTACGGGCGAACGGAAATGTTGCCGTAGTCTTGATTAAAATTAGTCTCAGTCTGCCTGGCGTTGGCCACGCCTTTGACCTTGAAGATCTCATTACTGGGATTCAAAAATTATTATATATAAAACCGCCGCGAAACTTCCTCCAGTTTGTTCTAATTAATGCGCCTCTTGCGTCGTTCTGCGTCGATTCTGAGGTCGAAATTCGAACTTATTTCGCAGAAAGCCGTGAGCGGGGTAGGCTGGCTGTCCATCCCGCTCCCGTCGTAACTTTGGTCGTAACGGTCGTAACTCACTGCCGCGTTGCCGGGGCAACGAGACGACGAGGCGCGGCCCGACGGCGGCCACCCCGCGACTCCCGCGGAACAACCCCCCGCCCCTCCCCCTCAACCCACCCCGGCTAGGACTGGCGACTGGCGCCGGGTGGGTCTGGCCTCGGGGACTAGCGCTGCTTTTAAGGCTGGCGATTAAGATATTTGCACGGAAGGGGGGAGGGGGGAAGAAGTGGGTCGTCGTCAGGAGTTTCCGGGCTGTTCCCGAGCGCTGCTGAGAGTTCGAAAGGGTTTGTGTGTGGATGGCACGTCGCGGTGGCAGGGTCCTGTCGCGTCCCAGTGACCGCGAGGTCGCCAAGCATGACGCGATCCTGAGCCACACCTATACGATCAAGCTCGAGCCCGCCGCTCGCTCCGCCCGTCCCGCCCCGCACCCAAACGAGGCCCACGGGTCCCTGAATGGCTTGCAGTGCGACGGACGGGGGAGCGCAGTCATCATCAAGCGTTGTCGTTGTGAATGGCGCGACAAGGTGGGCACGGGTGACTTCAACAACATCGGCACGTGCTCTTGCGCGGTCACTTCTTGAGCTGCCGCCGCTCCGCCCGCCGCTCCTTGTGTCCAGACAATTTTTCTTTTGGCATGGCCGTGATGATGTCATTTTGCAAAATCGACGCGACGCCGGCGAGGGCCAATATGGGTCTCGAGGTCGCGGCGGCGGCGGCGGCGGCGGCTCGGCTGCTATCGGCTATCGACGCCCTGCTGCAGCGTTGATCCGACCTATTTTTTCCGCCCTGGAGGGACCCACAGCCCACAGACAGCCCCGCCCCGCTCGTCGCGCGCAGTGGCCGTGAGCCTCACCCGCACGGCGCACCGGGTGTGGCTCCTAGTGGCTCCACGCCCATTTCCCCCCTTTTTGGCGCTCCGTACAATTATCCACTCAGCTCGATGAAGCCTCGCCTCCCGGCGACGATGCCTCTCGCCCGCCCCGCCCCTGTGTTGTCGAACACACGTGGTCACCGCGAGACTGACTGCCTGCCGATCTGATTGGCGATGCACAACGCGAAAACGCCCCCGCAATATCGCCAAGCCGCACGCCGCCCGAGGGGTCGTCAACTTCGATATTCCTCCGTACACGGACTGATATTACCTCAAATATTACACCAATATTAGCCATATTACTGGTAATGTTACCTCGATATTACACATTTTCTTGTATTATGACGTCACAGCTTGAAAATTGGCTCAATATTACCAATATTATTTGTAATATTCAATATTCCTCCGTACACGGCCAAGGAGAGTTGACGACCCCTCGACGCCGCCCCAGAACTACGTCCCCTCCCCTCCCTGGCCCTCCCCTCTCTGCCCTTCCCGCCCGATCCTGCTGCACCTCGGGAGGAGGAGGGATCACTCATGGGAAATGCGTAGAATAATTAATTTCGCGTAATCCGATCATTTTTTTAAGGTTTTAATTTTGACTTTATTCTCTTATTTCAAAATGTTCAAAATATGTGATGTGAAGGTTGATTTTAGATTTAGACTTTGTCTGCCGAACTACAATTTAATTTGATGATTTTACTCCGATCTTTTTGATTTCATTTTGAGTATTTTGTTGTTCTTCGGAAGTTTTTGATTGGTTTTTTATTTCATTTCGAGATTTACAATGATTTTTCGAAGTGATCCCCCCCCCCCCTCGCCTCGGAACGCTGACGAATCGCGGGAGCCCCAAGGCCGAAAGCGCGACGCCGCCATTAGCGTGCGTCGTGCTCCGTGCGAGTGCGAGGGAGACGGAGTGTGTGAACAAGTGCGCCCATTCATTTGCCCTTCCCCGACTGCAGTTGGTGGCCCACTGCAAGAGGTTTGGGTCGGGTTAAGGACGAGTTGTGCCATCTTGGCGGGCCGCCACACGCGGCTTCGTGTCCTCCCCCCCCCCCCTTCTTCCCCTCCGGCCCCGCGGCCTGCAGGGCAGTGCAAGGGCCGCCTACTAAAGAGATTGCGTCCGGGGCGTCCGGGCCGAACCGAACCGAACCCCATCGGCCCACAGCTAATATACACGCGGCTGTTGTGTTTGAGCCTTGACCTGCCGGCCACGCCCCTCCCGGCTTTCTTTCTGCTGCCCCCCGTTCTCTGTGTCTGTCTCTCCCCCTCTCTGTCTCCCCCTCCCCCGCCTCACACTGTACCCTCCCCGCCCCGCTTCCACCCCGAAAGATGATTTCAAACAGTCAGACTCTATTCTGGTGGACTCTCTACTAGAGGATAGCGAAAAAAAAGGATTTGAGATATTGATATGGCGGGTATGCAGAAAAGTTGTCTTTTTAGATGTAGAATCCAGTGCAATTTTTTATTTTGAGATCGGACAATATTTTCCGATCGCGCATCGAGCTCAAAGTTATGCATTAGCTCTTATGGGAAAAATCGTCAAAAACCTCGAAAAAATGAAAATTGAAAATTTGGGCTTTCTATGTGATGTTTTTTGAAAATCAGTTTTCATAAATGCAATCTACGCCAAAAAAGGCATCTAGTGATGTATCACACTTGATATTGCAACCCATGGTTTAGGCGGTGTAGGCTGCATAATTTCATTACTTTTGTGCAATTTGATGCAATTTGGGCTTAAATTGATACCTGGCCGGGACTGAACCGCTCACTATAATATCAAGTTTGACACATCAGTGGATGCCTTTTATGGCGTAGATTGCATTTATGAAAACAGATTTTCAAAAAACATCACTTACAAAGCCCAAATTTTCGATTTTCCTTTTTTCATGGTTTTTGACGATTTTTCCCATAAGAGCTAATGCATAACTTTGAGCTCGATGCGCGATCGGAAAATATTGTCCGATCTCAAAATAAAAAATTGCACTGTATTCTACATCTAAAAAGACAACTTTTCCGCATACCCGCCTTATCAATATCTCAAATCCTTTTTTTTCGCTATCCTCTACTCTCTACGCGGCTTGTACTAGTCTAAAACTCTCTCCTTCCAAAAATTGTTGGAATTCAACTCAACCTCGACTACAAGTCCTGTGGCCGGACAGGGGAGGCGCCGTGTTTTTCACTCGGCTTCACTGCTCCGCCCGACATCAATAGCCCCCTCACCCCCCCC